ATGCATTGCATGTGTTTAGAGGGATATTAGTATTAGCATGTATAATAAAAATGGAACATTGTTATTAATACTTCAGAAGTTAAAGTGATTCATTTTAATGTTGTAATACCTAAACCCTCCCTGTCATCGTTATTTTCATTGAATTGATTTATTCCCCACCAGGAATGTAGCTGGGGCATGTATGTTGACCCTTATCCATCCACACATCAGTTTATGCATCTACCACTCTTGATAGGTTTTTTTATGTGTACATAGGTTTCTTTGGTAATCTGGTATCCAAATTAAAAGTGACCAAACAAATTACATTATGTATGACCCATTGTTTGAAATTATATCTATCTTAAAATTTTTGCAGCTTATGCAATATGGTAATCTTTTTTGTTAAAATACTATTAAAGTGCTAAAATAATTTGGTGGTGGTTGTGTGTGGATGGGAAGGTATTTTTGTTCACTGATATTGCTACAGGTTTGTTGACTTAATATACATATTTGTCAGACCTGAATAATATAAATATTTATCACATATCACACCCAAATGATGTAGATATTTTTCTTGACACATAACTTTTAGGTCTGATATACTCAGACCTTTCTTAAATGCATACCTGATAAATAATTGTATATAAATTTGATAATGGTATAGCCATATTCTACTTGACTAAAATTTATATAAAAATATTGCCACAAAATTAATTATATCCCCAAAATGTTCTTGCTAAAAATGTATTCCTTCTTGCAAAATCTACATGCAATGGAATTCGTTACTTCATCCTTTTTTAATTGCACAAATGATTAAATTCTTTGACTTTTTAAGTCGGTGCACTCTTTAAAGGTCCAAAATAAATTTTGCCAGATATGTTTACAATAATATAATAATGAACTTGTTTATAAAGGATAACTCAGTTAAATAGAATTAATCTTCCTTTGTGTACTCTTCTACATAGATAGCAAACAAGTATAAAATTACAAAGTATTTTGAGTCACTTTAGGGCAAAGTCTCTTTGTAGAAGTTTTCTCTCCAGAAACTGTAGGTTTTTGGTACTGTTTTCAGTCTTGTGATATAAATGATAGTTTGGTTATAAATGCAATCACAATGTTAAGAAATATACGAGAGGATTTCTGAGTTTTTCTGATATTTCTGAATGGTTTGCATATTTTGAGAAATTATTGAGTGTCAACAGGTTAAAAGTGAATACAAAGTTTGGCTAAGAGGTTATTTTTACAAATGATGCAGTTGTGATCTCTTTGAACAGAATCATATTGATCTAAATCAACCTAACACTCTAGAAGAGATTCATAAAGCTCCCAAGTCATGGAAGTACAAAAAATTCATCATGGTATTATAAAAAGAAAAAATTCAGATTTAGTAATTGTGTGATTACAGTTTAAGATCCTTCAAGAAGATATTTTTTTCACTCCTGATGTGAAAGAATTATTTGTCCATTGCCTAAGGGAGGGGAGCCATTCTAATAAAGTTGATAGAGCATCATGCTCATGATCCAAAAGGGTTACATATTAAGTACCCATCTTGACAAGTGCCATAAAATAAAATAGCTAAAATAACAAAAGATTGTGCTAGGGTCAGAGTAAAGAGGCTTGAAATAATTATAGCATTTTTGTGTGTGTTTTTGAAAACGTTCTTTTATTATTGATGGAGAAACATATTGGGGAAATATTCAAGAAATGTTCTTTGAAAATCAAGAAGATACAGAATCGAAAATATTACATAGACGATATATTTATTATATATGCTTGTATTATTAAAATGAAAAGAGATTATTGTTATTGTATTTTTGTTGACTTTTCCACAAATTTTGATTGTGTACAGCACCATATTTATTTTAAATGGAAATTTACTTCATTATAAACTTTATAAAATTATTATTTTGTGTATGTATGTATGTATGTATGTATGTATGTATGTGTGTGTGTGTGTGTATATATATATATATATATATATATATATATATATATATATATATATATATATATATATATATATATATATATATATATATATAAAGATGTATTTTAAGTCCACTCTTTGCAAGTAAGTATTTTCATTGGTTGAAATTGAATGGTTGTAAAGAAACAACAGTTCAAAAGTAGACGACATCACTGTCATATGCTGATGATAAATGCTAATATTTTTGACACCCTTATATCTTCTCTAAAATAAAATAATTAACCTTTTGCTTTTTTATGGAATGAGACCAAAACTATGAAATGGCTCTTGTAAGAAGGTGTGCCATATAAAGAAAGATAAGTTTTGTATTGAAAGAACTTTATTCACTTTAAGTTTATATAAATATCTACGCAGATGTCAGTATATTTCTGGTCTTAGTTGACTGTGTGACTGCCAGCCTTTTTATATGCATTAAAAATTAATGGATGAGTATTTTCATTGTGTTGAAAATGTTCGGTGTTGTAATTACATCCTTAGAACAGAAAAGATGCCTCAAATGATGCAGTTGTGAGAGAAGTGAATCTTTACCTGTTGTCAGGGGCTCTGAGTGGCACTGTGGTGTAAAAAAAACTCACCATTTAGAATCACTGCCCTCTCACCTCTGTGTGGGTTGTAGTCTTGGGTTTGGCCAATGTGAATATATAAGAAAGCTTGCCAGTAGCTTCTCATAGGTTGGTGGTTCTTTCCTGGTTTCTTCCTCCACCACTGATAATGACCGCCATGTAAAGCCTATTTTGTGCTGAAAAATGGTGCTAGACCCAACAACAACAACAACTTTACCTGTTCTCAGGTAATTATTTAATGACATGTATTTGTGGTTAAGTGTTATGCAGATGGATGAGTTGAGAAATTTCAGTGCATGTTATCAAATCTTGAAATCATTTGATGAAATAGGAAGAATGACGAGGCATCTCATGTAAACAATTATCTATTTAGAAACAGGTCCAGTTACATCAGGTAATGACACAGAGTCTAACCATGGTTAACATCTTTTCTGGTATTCAGAAATTACAGGAAAAATAAGGGATTTATAAAACTTAAAAATCTTTTAATTTTGAAAACTATCTGGTATACATGCCCTTTAAATTTAGGGTTCATCTATCTAGGTAGAGAAGTTTGAGTCAGATTTTAGCTATATAGATGGCTAGAATAAATAATACAAAATGGGAGAAATATTATACTTTTTTGTTTCACTATAATTATGTTATTGAAAATACATGTCACTTGCAGTACAGAGGTTTAATTCCAGTCTGCTTTTTTTAATAATTTGTACAAATTAAGAGTTTTGTTAGAAGTAAGAATCAAGAGATATGTAATGTCCTTGCGGCTTACTTATATTTAATTTAAGACAGAATTGTATAATGTCTCAGATGGTACAATATATTGCCAGGATGCATTTTTTCTGATAGCACTATGTGTATATCTGATTGACCGTATGAAGAATATTTATCTTTCAAAAAGATTGTTTAAATTTTTTTTAATGTATAGGTTTTTTTTATTCTCAGATATGTTTCTCATAAGGTTTTGATTATACTGTTTGTGGTATTATTGTATAGAATGTATGGGCTGCTGGCCTTAATTTATTCTGCATAAATGCTTACTTCAAGCTCAATATGTGTAAAATTAATTCTTTCAGTAGACAATCAACATTGTATGAATAAGAAAGTATTCTCTGTAAGAACTTGTACTCAGCTTCAGTGAAGGATTGCGATAAATTCTGGAACCATTTATACTGCATTGTTGTTTTCTGTAATATCTCTTGCCATTAATTTTTTGGCACAATGTGCAGTAGATCTTATTTCATTTTAGTTACACTATCACATATTTTACCAATTCTTCCTTACACGATGGAATTACATGCCAGCATGAAGATTAGAAATGAATTAGTAGATGTTGCATTTTAATACTTCATACAAATTTTGAAACTTTGGTGTCAGTAAAAAATTCAGCTCTATAATCTGTTTAAATTGAAATGACCAGTCTGCATATATACAGTCATGACCGCTGTTGGAATAAACATTAATTACACTATTCAAGACTCTCTTCAGCAGTATAATCACCAGAGAGCAATAAACCTCTTAATTGAAAATTCAGTCCAGCACATACATTCATTTAGTATGCTCCATAATAAACAAATTTGCACACACAAATAATCTGGGTGAAGGCCTACATCCATCAACAAGATAAAAAGATGACAAGATTTACTGATTGTGTTTATATTTGTGAGTGGTAGGCCATTACTCAAATTGCCATATATACCTGCTTATAAGTCTAGTTAAATTGTAAACAATACAGATCTTGATCTGTTTGTTTAAATGATTATGCCTAACTAACTGCACAGACACTGATCTGCATGCATATTTTTTGACAGCAGATCTGGGTCTTTGCAATTTGGCTCATCTTATATATGGTAGTTCATTCTTTCACTCATTTCTTCATGCATTTTTTCAATAAACATTTTCACACCTGTTACAAACTGTTGTCAGATTTTTGTGTAGATGATGTACACTTTGTACCTGTCAGGTTTTGTTAAATATAGGCTTACATACGAATTTATATGCAGAAATGTTTTGAATTAAATATTCTTTTGGCAAGAGTCTGAAAATGCCCCAGCACAACTTATAAAAAGCACGTTTTAAAAACTATGTTTATGTATGACTCTCTTAGTTTTGACCACATAATATAAACATTACTTTGTAAAAAGGGGCCCAGAGTGGTCTAAAACACTCACCATTTTGGATCACTGCCATCTCACCTCTGTATGCATGGGTTCAAGTCTCAGTCTCAGCTAACATGGGTATGTGAGAAAGCTTGCCAGTAGCTTGTGAGTCGGTGATTCTTCCTCCACCATTTATACTGGCCACCATGTATAGCCTATCTTGGGCTAGAAAATGTTAAACCCTACAATAACTTTGTAAAGTGAAAGCCAGTGCATAAGTGAATGAACTAAATCAAAAGGGTCTTTTTGAATCAAATAACTTTTACTAATTATGTGATGACCTGTTTGAGATGATTTATTCTTACAATGCATAACCGCTTCGGTGGCCTAGTGGTTAGAGCATTAGCCTCAGATGCTTGAGGTTGTGGGTTTGATTCCTGGTCAAGTCATACTAAAGACTTACAAAAATAGTACTAACAGCTACCTTGCTTGACGTTCAGCATTAAGAGGCTAGTGTTAGGACTGGTCTGCATGGTGTCAAGATAATGTGACTGGGTGGATTATCATTTTACGTCTGCAGCATGATGCCCCAGTGTTAGACATCACTATAAATAGCCACACTGCAAACATTTTAATGATATGACTGAAAAATTGTTAAAGCTACATTAAAAGTCATAATCACATCACATCTTACACTGCGTATTGCACAGTTCTGCAATTTAATCAAAACTATTGTAGAGTAAATAAAATGCCTCATTTATAAAGGAAGTGATGCATATACTATCACATATTTGGACTTTACCTGGTACCCTTTTTTGTTCAAGGTTCATTTCTGTGTATGTGAATTCACAAGATCTATATTTAGCCTATGTTGATCATGTTAAGATGATGACCATTACCTCTGGTTATTATCCTTAAAGAGACAAACTCAGCAGCTGTGTAAAGCCCCAAACACCATACTGTCAGCTGTGTAAAGCCCCAAACACCATACAGTCAGCTGTGTAAAGCCCCAAACACCATATTGTCAGCTGTGTAAAGCCCCAAACACCATACTGTCAGCTGTGTAAAGCCCCAAACACCATATTGTCAGCTGTGTAAAGCCCCAAACACCATACTGTCAGCTGTGTAAAGCCCCAAACATCATATTGTCAGCTGTGTAAAGCCCCAAACACCATACTGTCAGCAGTGTAAAGCCCCAAACACCATACTGTCAGCTGTGTAAAGCCCCAAACATCATACTATCAACTGTGTAAAGCCTCACACATCATACTGTCAGCTGTGTAAAGCCCAAAACACCATACTGTCAGTTGTGTAAAGCTCTGTACACCATATTTTCAGCTGTGTAAAGCCCCAAACACCATATTGTCAGCTGTGTAAAGCCCCAAACACTATATTGTCAATCCTATTATGCCAGCATTTGAGATAATGATATAATATTTACCTTATAGGTACATGTTATGATTTACTTTTGTCACCTATCATTTCAGTAATGAAAACCTGATGTTGGGAAACAAACATTGATAGAGATGACCAGAATACTTACCTTATGGTATGAATACAATAGTGGCTCTAGGCACAGATGAAATATGGTCACTTGTGAGGCATAAATTTTATACTTTTGGCCTCATATACTGGCCACATGCTGTATTAGAGGGGTGGCCATCCATGAGTAGTATTTTTTTTGCACAAACTCATTGATGCTGAGACAACTGGCCACATATAGTAGGTGTCTGCTGATGAGGGGGTCAGATTAAAGGGCAACTACTGTAACAATATATAGATTTGTATAAATAATGTTTAATACATGCATTGTAAGAAAATATGTAGTTTGTGTCGAAGGATTTTTAAGAACCGTAACAGTTTGAGTCTTATTGCTAAGATGTCAGCAGTGGCAGTTTATAGTGGTGTTTAGTACTAGGACAACATGCCTCATACATGCAGCATCACGTTCCATCCAGTCATTGTTCTGACACTAGTATGACCAGTCATAACACTGACCTCTTAATGCTGAGCACCAAGTGAGGCAGCTACTAGTAAATTTTTTAATACATCTTTGGTATGAATCGGCAGCAGTTCGATTCAATAATAGATGAGAATATAACATTCTGTATCTCGTATTTATTCATTATGTGAATATGATTAATTCTAAATGTACATGTACAATATTGTCTGTGGTGGCTGATCATGAGCTAGAATATAATATGGAAATTAGAAGGAAATTTAAAACAGTTTTTCAGTCCATATGCCTTTTATGAATGAGTATTGTCAGTTATGTATGATAATATTATTTGTGATGCATTAGATGCTTTGAAATTTCTAAATCAAATACAAATAATAGTGAAGGGAAATAACTCCTTCAGTTCAATATTTTACTATCTCAACAATTCTTGGAACCTAGTAAGTTGAGTGCATGTTTAATCCTTTTATTAATGACGTTACTAATTTTTCTGACCAAAAAAAAAACAATTATCAGCAGTGCTCACAGTCTGATCAAGCCAACCATCTTGCACTTAATACAAATCACTAAATTGTATGTGATAATGTGATACATGTTAAACAATATTATATACCAAGTTCTGCAACATAGTAAAACACAGTATGGTGTACCAAGGTATATTGTTCCAGAATTTGGAAACTATATACCAGGTATTGTTCTGGTGTAAAAGTGCTTGAAATGTTAAAGAGACTATTTAATTTTAGACAAATGATGCTGATCTGCAATCACATATGAATAAAGACAGGAAAACCAGAGGAACCATGAAATAATTGTATCTCAATTGCATTGACTTCATTTGAATAAATTTCAACAGAAAGCATCCTACAACCCTACTGCTCTTATATTTGACGAGTAAGCAGAAGTCAGTTGAGTGATATTAGACCAACTTGATTCTCATGTTTTAAAGAGTGTCCATTACTGCTGGATAGACCCCTTCTCTATCCACAGAGTTTTTGTTTAAGGCCCCACAGAGAAAATTATAGTTAGTAGTAACCTTTGGAAAACATTAAATTTTAATAGGTCTGGTGTTGAGAGAATTAAAGTTATTGTAACTTTGCTGTTTATAATTTTGGTCAAGAAATGCAAAAAATTTATAGTATATATATTTGGGCTAATTTGTAATTAATCTCCTTGAATTTTCAGCTATTATAAGCTATGTATTGCTCATATTGCAAGAATTTACAACAAATTTAACATTTGCCTTTAGAGCATTTTTGTTAATTAAATTTAATAAATATTGGAAATTATCTTTCTCTGTTCTTTCCACTGTTTTCACATAGCCACTATAGCTCAGTTGAAGAGCATCTGACTTATAATCTATGGGTCAAAGGTTAGAGACTCACTCAGACCAACCTGGATCAGCCTTGTGATTAGCCATCATATAATATTCCATCAGATCAGGGTGTGTTGTTTATTCTGCTGATTTTTCTTAATAAATTGCATGGACCAATATCTGTTGGCACATTATATAATGGCAGATCTGGGTCTATGCAGCATGCAGTTGAAATGGACTCGAAAGCAAGTACAGTGTATATATGGTACATCATTATTATGGAAACGTTGATTTGTAAATTGTGTAAAATCATTTTTCCCGTCATTTGAAGGAGTTTCATTTTCTAAAAATGGTTATAATTAAGAGAGTAGTTTTGTTTAATATAATCATCGTCATTATCATCATTATCATCATTCTTGCAATAGCCATCATCATCATCATTGTAATCATCATCAACAATATCTTTGTTATCGTGCAGGTCAATCATCAGCACAGCATCACCACCATCAATCAAATAACATACTGGCGGATCTGGGTCAATGCATTTTGTCAGGTAGATTGACTTTGAAGATAGGTAGTTCTTCTAGTAAAGAAGAATCCTGTTGATTTTGGGGTCAAAGGTCAAAATAAGTTGTAGCAATTTGATAAATGGTTTTTGCTCTTCTGATTTGCAGCTTTTGTATAATGATTATGGTCACTATGACAAAGATAAATGTTTTTTATGCTCAAGTTCTTTAGTATCTACAATTAACAAACTTGGTAAACTGCTTGCATTGGGGTAGTTAAGATGCCTATTGATATTGGATTCATAAGATCAAAGTTTGAGGACATGAGACTAAAAGAAGAGAAATGGTTTCCACACAATAACCTTAGTTCTACACAACAGACCTTGCCCAAACTTTGTGGATAACTTGCACCTGCGGTAAGGAAGATTTCAAGTTTGGGGCCAAAAGAAGAAAAGGTCACATTTATTTTTGCCTTAAAGAAGAAACGTTATTTCTGCACAATAAATTTCAGTTCTTGACCATGATGGCAAGTTGACTATGGGTGAAAGTAGAAACAGTTTCTGCATAATAACATTGAGTTCTACATCACACACCTGGACTAAACGTTGTGGATGGCTTGCACTTGGTGTATAGAAAAAAAAAATTTAATCACAAGGAACAAGCTCTTCAAAATGAATGGTACTCTTCTGTCTGAAAAGAATTCTAAGAAATACAAGACAAGACCCTTTCTTTTTAACTGCAGAGTGCTGAAATGATCTCTGATATTATTGCACTGTAAAATTTTCAAATTAGCCAATGTTTCACCCATCAATTTAGGATCGATATAATTTTCATTTAGGACAAGCTAGACAACAAAGGTTTTTGGATGGAAACTCTATGTTGATATGACCATCCATTCAGGAGAATAAGTTGAAAACAATTTTAACATGTTCATTGAGGCAGTCCTATTTCAGATCAGATCAGCACTAAATAGGTATAATGATTAGTCATTCTGATGAAAACTCTATGTCAGTATTTTACTTTACTCTTCATTTTAACATTTTTATTTACTTTTTTGGCACCATACAGCCATTTATTCAGCAAGGTAACATTTAAAATTAATACATACATATATGTGATTTAATTGTTTGTGTAAGTTTTAAAATTCTTTTTATTTCATTTCTGTTTCATTGCTTTTTATTGCAAATTAATATTTTGTTGGATTAGAGATTCTTTTTTTTTTTCAGTAATGAGATAAATGTTTACTTAAGACGAAGATGTATTATGTGAGAACCATCATTTAGTCTGTCTTACCCTGGTAACAGTCAACATGAAGTTAAAATGATTGGTCAGTATTAGGGTCATACTTTCTTTGCGTGATCACTGTGTGTAAGAAAACCTTTTATGATTGGTTCTTAAGCAGGGACAAATTGGTCTATGTGATCAAAATAGTGTAGTAAGAGTCCACATGACCAATCTCGCGAGACTTGAAATGAGGCATTGGGGTTTTAAATATGCAATCTTAAAATTTTTTGCGTAGAGTAATTCAACACCTTGAAGGAACAAGGTATATTATTTAATTTTTTGCCAATATTGTTTATTCTTCGTCTGAATTTTGGATTTAATATTTTATTTCCCTGGAAACTCAACAAGTTGACTTTTCTATAAAAAATTTTGAAAGATATTCATGGAAAT